GGGAGGGGGGGGGATCGAACCCAGAACTTGTTTGTGTTTCGTAAAGTTGCTCCTTTGCTAACTGATCTACACGTCAGAGACTATGTAACAGTTTCTTATATTATGGAACGTTTAAGCAAATGTATCACCGTCAATGTCGACAAAAGTTACAATAACTTATGCTTTTTAATATAATAATTAATATTACTTGTTTTGTCCAAAAACCCGCAATACTTTTTATTTTGAGACAGTTTCTTTATTTGATGTTTTAATCATGTATAAAACTCTTCTTGTAATATATAGATAAATTAAACATTTTTTTATATAAAAAACGCAAAGTTATGATTGTTTAGGAATATGTTTTAACAAAGGAAAACAATATTGGCATAATCATATTTTTTTTTCTTTCTATTTTATGGTTTACTTTTTAGTATCAACAACTGTCAATTTCACTTTAGCATAAGTAATATATCAGAGGACGTCAGATTACAATCTCCGACAAGCGTGACAATATGCCTTTTGATAGGTCATTAGTTCAAATACGTTTATGATTTCTAGTATCGAATCCAATCAAGCAAAAGAAGAACGGTTCCACCATAATTCCAAACAAAACATTATATAGTGATTCTTCCGACTCTGGTCATCACTGTAATATAACTTAGATTGAAATTGCTTTCAGTGTACAACTTAATAAAAGAGCAGGATGACTTTGCATAAATACAAGATAGTTCTCGGGGTTCCATGCCACCATCCTCAGTCACTGAATGAGCCAAAAAATGCTTTTCCCATCAGTGTCCTTAGAGGCATAATTTGTGTGGGATCGATTGAGGGTTTAACTGTTTAGACTCTTATTTGCTTATCAAGCATTTGAGAAAATTGTCTTAAAACCATTTTTTATGCATCAAGTACTGTTTATTAATACATATTACTTAAAAATTCAATATTACAAGTAAATTGTGCATTAATACAACTTTTTTAAACAACATATTTGAATTCATATAACTAACTGATAAACATAACCTAAAGGTGAGATGTATATAGATATGTCATCTACCTTAAAAGACAAAGACAGTTGTTTCGATAAGTGATTGATTCGTAACGAGACAAAACTCATGTACAACATAGTACATCAAAATGTCACAAACGGGTTGTCACCAAGCGATCAATTGGAAAAGTGTACATACCGAGATATAAATGAACACGACCGTGATGCATCATAACCTCTCTAGATCCACATGACTACTCTAATTGCTAACGACGGTCATGACTCCTCTTCCATGGCCTCGGCTGCAGCTATCTCGGAATCCAGTTTGTTCATTAACTGCTCGCTGACATGTTTAGCCACCGATATCATGTCAAGAATGACACTCGGGTCTAAACCTGTTCCCCCTCTTTTGGTCAGCCCACAGATCAAACCTTGCCTGTTGATGGAAACAGAGACAGCAGAGCTCATTTGTGATTCCTCTTCTGAAGTTGCATCTACAATATAATGTCTTCCAATCTACACAGAAAAGCCACTAAAACCAATAACCAACAAAAGAATGTGTTGTTTGAGGGTAGAAGAGTTTTGCAATGTAAATCTGCAAAATCACCTTTGTTAATGTAATTATGACGGGGACTGCAGTGGTGTCGAATTGTAGAAACTCTTCATCGCTCACGTCGACCTCTGGCTGTTCATCGGAGGGAGCGGCTGAAGCGACATTGACTTTTGGGATACCTGTATTGCTTAAAGCAGCCTATGGCCATGGATAAAGAAAAACCGTTTCAACAACAAAAACTAGAGCAAACTCCAAATCCCCTATGTTTACGAACAAGGAAGCTACAAAAACCTTGGTTTTGGGAAGTAAGGACCGATTGGAAAATGAAAATACCATAACCAGAATGAGGTGTTAGGTAATAAGCCAATACAGCACAAAACATGGCAAAATGAAATGAAGGTAGCAAAACTAAGAAGTAATGCACGAACCCCTCAATACGTTAGGGTGCGTTTGGTATGCGAACTGGAGAGGATTGTAAGGTCAGACTGTGAGGTAGGCGTAGGGGTGTAAAACGAGTCGAGCTTTTAACGAGCTACTCAAGCTCGAGCTCGAGTCGATCTCGAACACAAAATATAACTCATTTAATTAAACGAGCCGAGCTTCATAACCCTAATGTTCAACTTGGCTCGTTCAAGAACTCGATTAAAATTTTCAAATCGAGCCAAGCCATTCGAGCATAAACTTTTTCAAGTCAAACATGTGCATATATCCATTAAACATACAACAAAAGTATAAAAATCATCGAGCTCAATCCGATAAACGAGTTAATCGATCGCGAGTTTGCACCCATAAACAAACATCGAGCTCAAGCTCGATAACTCAAAAAATATTCGAGCTCGAGCTCGAGCCTACTTTGAAAAAGTAGAAGGAGCTCGAGCTCGAGCTCGAGTCTGGTATTAATTTTGCAAGCTCGACTCGATTAATCTACTACTCGACTTGTTTACACGCCTAGGTAGGCGGGTGAAATAATTCTAGAAGGTTTTAAGGTTTTAGTTTATCACGGGTAGTTTAGGGCGTGCTTGTTAGCACCTTAATGAGTTCAATGGGACTCCCAACTTATTTTGTCAGCTATATTAACTGTTTGGTGGTGGCTTAATGATATAGAAATGGCTTATTCAGTAAGCTTTCAGGAGGAAGTTTTATGCAGAAAATCAGGTTTTTTTCCTAACTTGCTCCTTCCATCTATGAAACCCACCCCCCCAAACAAAAACCTTCCAAATCTATACAGACAGATTATTCCACACTTACAGCTTTATCCATATAGGACTTGGGGGAAAACCAACCAAAGAACCCCCTTGGTAATTTCGACTTCCTGAATTTGGTTCCACCTAATTTGGAGGGATAGAAAAAATGCATTTTTGTCTAACTCATGTCCTGTCTGGTGCCAGTCTAATGTGACGCCAAACATGGGGGACAACAAGTTTTTGTACTGTCTAGTCCCGCATACCAAACACACCCTTAAGTCATTGATGAAGTAGCATATACGTTCTCATATTAACAAGAACAAAGCATAGAGCTGCAATGAAGTGCTAAGAACGCTGTCTTAAACACTATTCATATTTGTGCAAACCAAAAAGACCAACAATTTAATACAAGCTTAAAACTGCAACTGGCTCATGACCGAGATAATTTTTAACCTATTTGTGCCGCTACAGTTCGTATTTTTGGAAAAAGAAGAAATAAAAGTACAATGTAACAAATACCTTGATGGCAGCACCTAAAGCATCGAGTATGTTTCCGTCCATACTAATTACAAGACCATCAATATATAAATCCCAACAGATCTTCCCATCCACAATTGACAGAGAGGAAAGATTAATTCCAGCTCCTGTCATACGGGTTATCAAGACAAATCTTTATACGTGAAATGGTTTGATAGGTACAAAGGTTAATGGGACTTTGCTTCTTTTGATCGACTCCATACCTGCTCCACTTTTACCTCCCAAAAGACATTGTCGCAGGGCTGCAGAGAGTTCCATCGACAATTCTTCACCACCTCTCCCCTGTATATATACACAAAACAGGGTAGGATTTCTTAAAGGGTATATTATCAAATTCATAAAGGAAGAACACAAAAAGCATCCAACTATTTCCACTAATTCTGCAGCAAACATGTGCCAATGAGTTTAAGCCATAACATACAGACACAGATATGGCGAAAAATTCCAATAAATCTCGTTTACTCAGAAGTTCAAACCTCAAATTGTGGTGCCGCTGTGGGACTGCAATCAATATAAATGGAAACTTTTCCTTTGTCAGGTGCTGAAGAACTTGGTCTTCCTAGCTCGGCCTGCAATCAGGTATGGTTGTATGGATTAAGCATCATATATAAAATCTATGGTTATAGCAATAAAGAGCAAATAACATCATCAGAAACAAAAATCAGTAAAAGCAAAGATGAAGACCACAGACTGAAAATTACCTTCACACTTACTATGACTTCAGTTCTACCCATCTTAACTCTTGCTGAACCATTTGCCTGTCATTAAGTTCATCAAGCACATACAACCAAGTGTTTCTCTTAATGCTCAGCAACCGATAGTCCCCATACTGATAAATTGTGTACTAAATAATGACAAACAATATGAAGAAAATAAGAATAAGGATGGGCCTACCTGGGCAATGACTCCAGTTTCCACAAAAATGGGCCGGTAAGTTAATCTTTTACGACCATCAGTACGAAGGTCTTGAGCAATCCCACCCTGTATAAAATGCTTTTCTCCAACAGATAGCCCCACCATTCCTGTACATAATAAGAGTAATGAATGAAATACATGCATACAATAGCCAATAGGTGCATATATCGGGGTAAAAACATCAAAGGACTACTTACAATCAGCATGTGCAAGTTACACCAGATGTACTACTGAAGCAGGGAAAAGTCTACACATATGATCATTGTTCAATTAACAAATCACAACCACTGATTCTCATCTCAAACTAACTCAATTGATAGCAACCCTTTCACCAAAAGATCTTATCCATCGGTTTTATTTTACTTGTAATGAAAAAGGAATAGCCTACTGGGATTAAATGTTACTATATGCTACAAATAGAAACATATTTGTGTTAAATTTATTAACAAGAACAATTCAAGCTTCAATTTAAAATTTAAGGTCAAAAGGAACCCTTTTTACAAATTCAATATTCATTTGTTAATTGAAGTTTTTGATACCTACATAATACCCGATTGCAGAAACATTGCAGAAATACAGAATAGACACATCAACCAAAAACATATGGAAGTAAATTCACCAGCAAAGTCTAGGTGAATTTCAATTTTCAATAACACATACTTGACTATCTCAAAACGCATTTCATCTACATGAGGGATGTATATAATCCTGTGCTTTATCAGCCAAATTAACAGTTCAGAGTAGCAAGAAAATCTCAAATGCAACAAGTAATTTGTCACGCATCATTCTTACCCTACTCATTAAATTTTCGAATAGACAAAGAATACAGAAACAATATTAACTTCACAAAACCGAAGGAATAATGAAAAAACCGAACTATATATAAAAAACAATGAAAAATGCATGAATACAGATACTATGACGCAAGAAAGGGTTTAAAAAGGTATGGTGATGAACAGGGCAGGTCCTGAGGTTTTTCATGCCCTGAGTGAAAAATCTAAAAAAACTATCCTAAAAACAGAAAACACACACTATTTCTAAGGGACCAAGGATTTACAGGCGAATCGTGAGTTTTCAAATGAAAGAAACCACACTAGTCACCACCCACCATGGGGCCACCTACAGATCATTTCTCAAATGTCAACATTTTCGATCAACACAAATATGCAACAAATTACTTGATATATGGAGAAATGGGTGATTTAAAGGACTGCAAATATAGCTTGTACATTGATGCACATGAGGTAACTAAGGATTATTTAAGAAAGATTTTGGGAATACATTAGACAACTTAATGTGTATGCTAGAAATCTAAAAAACATGTTTAACATGATATAGGAATTAGCATACACGAAATCAATTTGACAAACAACTCATTAGGTAGAGAACCCACGAGATTTATGCAAACTGACATTGTTATATACTTATTAAAAGAAATTAAAGAGATGTGATTAGTAATAGATTATGAATGATGCATCTAATAGAATATGTCAGCATGCTATGAAAGAGATAAACATGTTTATAACTTTGTTTCATGTACTAAGTAATAGCTAATGCTCTAAGCAACATGTACAACACTCAATTCTAAAAGTTGGTGTGTGGTTTATTTGTCATGAGCCCTAAATCCCTAATCAGACTTCATTTTAGAATCAAAGCTCCTAAAAAGCCATCGAACATAACAAGAACATGATCATGATACCACACAAATTTAATGACATATTGGAGAACAAATCATGGGTGAATTACCTTTCACTAGTTCAAAAAACAACCCATTATCCAACAATATCTTGAGTAACTAGAATGCAACAATGTTACTTCCATTCTTTTGTAGGCTTCCTATATTGCCCTTGACAAATTGTAATTACTATCCCTAAGAAATAAATGCCACATAAATGCGTAGAAAACAAGTAAAATCAGTACTCTTTAGATCAAGAATCAAACAATGCAACCAATCTTTCGGTCTTTTAAATTAACATAACAAGAACATCACAGAATTTATGTTGGTGGCATTTCATCAAACAGTTGGAGGGCATCATCAACCTTGGTGATATTATAAACAACGAGCAGCAAATCAAACCCCCACCATAAATCAAATACCAATGAGAAACCACATCAGCAAATTGAACTAATTATCTAACTATCAAAAATCAACAAGACAAATAGACAACAATTCTAATAATAAAACAAATTAGAAACATCTTTAATCAACAAAAAACATAAACATTAGTCATTATAATTCAGAAATTCACCAGAAGTCTAAGATCGGTTGCTTAAGACTAACAGAGCAGAGACAGAGACAAGAGAGAGTGAGAGACCTTCTTGACCCACGTTCTATACGCGTAGGGCAGCGTACAAAAGAGACGTTAACATTTTCTTAAGTTCCAAAACTGACCCTACCTAAAGATAAATATTGGGCCGTGGTTCAATGGGCCGGGCCTGATCCGTTACTCGTCGAACTTCACCACAAACTAAACTATCACAGATGGTCGTCATGATATTAGTCGGTCCGTATAATGGGTTGGATATTCAGATTAATAAAAAAACTAAACAATTACCAATTATTCATTTTGATTATTTATTTTAAATAAATAAATAATATATACACACGTTAAATATTTAGGCACACTGCCCGCTTCTGACAAGATTTAAACCTTTTAACTTTCTAAAAGTATAAGCTCTATCAGTAATTCAAATACTGTGAAACCAAAGACTACTTGATACTTACATTTCGATTTAAGCTCAGAATCTATAAAGCATGGTCCCGGACCGGTCACCGAAATATAGGACCGATTCGAGGATGGTCCCTTTTTCTTTTCTTTGTTTTTTAGTTACATTAAAAAAAATAACGAGGTTTGGACCTAAATGAGTCGATAAGTATAATTGAGTTATCCATTTTTTTGGGCCTAAAATACAGTTGGACTAACCAACATTTTAGGTCCAGGCTAGGCCCAACGATAACGGATATTGCTTCATTTGTGCAACTCTGTCGGTGAGTGTTGTCAACCTTATTGAATTCGTGTAACTAACTGCAGATATTTAAACATAGTTAAATAGGGAATCAACATCTCGTTTTAAATATAAAAAATCTAAAAAAATAATTAGGGTAATCATTGAGTTCTAACAAAATACTTAATTTTTATCTTTATAAAAAATTATATTATTAAACTAAACATTAAAAAATAAATTAAAGAAATACAGGAAAAGAACGAGAAATTTTAAATAGGTAGTTTCTTATGATATCGATATTATTTTTTTCATTTTTTATTAATTTTTATATTTTATTCAAAACTAAAAAAAACATTATCTTTTTCTCAAAACCACATAAAACCGTATCATAACATCGAGTGAGACAAAAAAAACGAAACATCAAAATCGAGATGTATTTCGCTGCATTGTGCGAGTACCCTTCTAGTATGTGTGTGTGTGTGTGTGTGTGTGTGTGTGTGTGTGTGTGTAGTTGAGTTTCATTGAGAAAGAAAGTTAAGGTAATAATCGTAAGAACGGATCTTTAACCTTGGATGCACGTTGGAATGAGATGCAACAGATCAATTCTCGTATTAAGCATGATTCATGGATGAGTTTGAGATTAAAGATGATCAAAGATTCAGATCCTTTATTACGCTTCTCATCTTAACTCTCTTTCTCACATGATTATTCGTGTGTGTGTATATATATATATACACACACATACACACGTGCGCGCACGAAGATGAAGAGGCCTCTTTCAAAATCGCTCCTCTTTTCTTGCCGATGGTGGGGAACATGGTCGGGATGAAGTACATGAAGAGGTCGATGGTGGTTTGTCGGATTGCACAACCTTGTTTTTTAGAATAAATTCTATTCATTATTTTCAAAATCTCCTGTGAATTTATTTTCGTTAAAGTGATGAAAAGTTTCATACATGGATTATTTTTCTTATGGTTTCATGTATGAAAAAGGAATGAATTTTTGTATACATGGATCATTTTTGTATATGGTTTTTCATATATGAAAAAATGATTGAATTTTTTCGTATATGATTTTAAAATCTTCTGTGAATTTTTTTCCATATATATATATATATATATATATATATATATATATATATATATATATATATATA